CCAACACAACACTAACACCAACAACACTAACCTACCAACCACTACACTAACCAACACCAACACTAACACTAACACTAACCCAACACCAACACCAACACTAACACTAACCCCAAACAACCAACAACTCCAACACCAACACTAACACCAACACTAACACTAACCCCTAACACTAACACTAACACCAACACCAACACCAACACTAACACCAACACTAACAACACTAACACACTAACACCAACACCAACACTACACTAACCAACACCAACACTAACACTAACCCAACACCAACACTAACCCCAACACTAACACTAACACTAACACCAACACCCAACACTAACACTAACCCCAACACCAACACCAACACCAACACTAACCCCAACACCAACACTAACACTAACCTAACACCAACACTAAACACTAACACCAACACAACACTAACCCCAACACCAACACTAACCCAACACCAACACTAACACCAACACCAACACTAACACTAACCCCAACACTAACACTAACCCAACACCAACACTAACACTAACCCCAACACCAACACTAACCCCAACACTAACACTAACCCCAACACCAACACTAACACTAACACACAACACCCAACAAACCCCAACACTAACACTAACACCAACACTCAACACTAACACTAACACTAACACCACAACACTAACACCAACACTAACACTAACAATAACATCAACACCACCAACACTAACACTAACACCAACACCAACACTAACACTAACACTAACCTAACACCCAACACCAACACTAACCCACCTAACACTAAACACTAACACCCAACACCAACACTAACACTAACACCAACACCAACACTACACACTAACACCAACACTAACAACAACACTAACACCCAACACTAACACTAACCCCAACACCAACACTAAACCCAACACTAACCTAACACTAACCCCAACACCAACAACACTAACAACACCAACACTAACAACACCAACACTAACAACACCAACACTAACCCCAACACCAACACTAACACCACCAACACCAACACTAACACTAACCTAACACCAACACTAACACCAACACCAACACTAACACTAACCCCAACCCCAACACTAACACTAACCCCAACACTAACACTAACCCCAACACCAACACTAACACTAACCCCAACACTAACACTAACCCCAACACTAACCCCAACACCAACACTAACACCAACACTAACACTAACACCAACACCAACACTAACACTAACCCTAACACCCAACACCAACACTAACACCCAACACAACACTAACACTAACCCCAACACCAACACACTAACACCAACACTAACCCCAACACCAACACTAACACCCAACACTAACACCAACACCAACACTAACACCAACACCAACACTAACACTAACCCCAACACCAACACTAACCCCAACACCAACACTAACAACTAACCCCAACACTAACACTAACACCAACACTAACCCAACAACACTAACACTAACCCCAACACCAACACTAACACTAACAACACCAACACTAACCCCAACACCAACACTAACACTAACACCCAACACTAACACTAACACCAACACTAACCCCAACACCAACACTAACACCAACACCAACACCAACACTAACACTAACACTAACCCCAACACCCAACACCAACACTAACACCAACACTAACACTAACCCCAACACCAACACTAACCCCAACCAACACTAACACTAACACAACAACCCCAACACCAAACTAACACTAACCCCAACACTAACACTAACCCACACCAACACTAACACCAACACTAACACCCAACACCCAAACACTAACCAACACCCCAACACCAACACCAACACTAACCCCCAACACTAACACCACCAACCCCAACACCAACACTAACACTAAACCCACAACACCAACACTAACCCCAACACTAACACTAACACTAACACCAACCAACACTAACCCCACTAACACCCCAACAACACAACAACTAACCCAACACCAACACTAACCCCAACCAACAAACTAACCCCAACCTAACACTAACCCAACACCAACACCTAACACTAACCCCAACACTAACCCCAACAAACACTAACCCCAACTACACCAACACCCAACACCAACACTAACACTAACACTAAACACTAACAACACAACCAACACTAACACACTAACACTAACACTAACCCAACACCAACACTAACACTAACCCCAACACCAACACTAACACCAACACTAACAACCAAACAACACTAACACTAACCCAACACCAACACTAACACTAACCCAACACCAACACTAACACCCAACACCCAACACTACCCCAACACCAACACTAACACTAACCCCACCAACACTAACACTAACACCCCAACACCAACACTAACCCCAACACAACACTAACCAACACCAACACACCAACACTAACACTAACAACACAACACCAACACAACACTAACCCAACACCAACACTAACACTAACACCAACCCCAACACTAACACTAACCCAACACTAACACTACCCCAACACCAACAACACTACCCCAACACTAACACCAAACACTAACCCCCAACACTAACAACACTAACCCCAACACTAACCCCAACACTAACCCCACTAACACTAACACTAACACTAACCCCCAACACCACACTAACTAACCCCAACACCAAACCCAACACTAACCCCAACACCAACCCAACACTAACACCAACAACACTAACACCAACACTAACAAACACTAACACTAACCCCAACACCAACACCAACACCAACACTAACACTAACCCCAACACCACTAACACTAACCCCAACACTAACACCAACACTAACACTAACCCCAACACTAACACCAACACTAACACTAACACCAACACCAACACTAACACTAAACCCCAACACTAACACCCCCAACACCAACACTAACCCCAACACCAACACTAACCCCAACACCAACACTAACCCCAACACTAACCCCACACAACACAACAACACTAACAACCCCAACACAACACAACACCACCAACCTAACACCAACACTAACACCCAACACTAACACACAACACCAACTAACCACCAACACTAACCACTAACCCCAACACTAACACCAACACCAACACTAACACTAACCCTAACACCAACACTAACACTAACCCCAACACCAACACTAACACTAACACAAACACTAACCCAACACCCAACACCCTAACACCCAACACTAACACTACCCCAACACCAAACACTAACACTAACCCAACACTAACACTAACACTAACACTAACCCCAACACCAACACTAACCCCAACACCAACACTAACAACACCAACACTAACCCCAACACTAACTAACACACTAACACTAACACACTAACCCCAACACAACCACTAACCCCAACACTACACTAACACTAACCCCAACACTAACACTAACACTAACACTAACCCAACACTAACACCTAACACTAACCCCAACACTAACACACAACACTAACACAACACCTAACACACTAAACACTAACCTAACAACACCAACACTAACTAACCCCCAACACTAACACTAACCCCAACACTAACACCAACACCAACACTAACACACTAACCCCAACACTAACACACTAACCCAACACTAACACCAACACTAACACTAACACCAACACTAACACCAACACTACCAACACTAACCACCAACACTAACCCCAACACTAACACCAACACTAACACTAACACTAACCCCAACACTAACACACTAACACCAACACTAACAACACTAACCCAACACTAACCCAACACTAACACTAACACCCAACCACTAACCCAACAACAACTAACAAACACCAACACTAACACTAACCCCAACACTAACACTAACCCCAACACTAACACTAACAAACACACAACACTAACACCAACACTAACACCCAACACTAACCCCAACACTAACCCCAACACTAACCCCAACACTAACACCAACACTAACACTAACACCAACACTAACCCCAACACTAACACTAACCCAACACTAACCCAACACTAACACCAACACAACCAACACTAACACTAACCCCAACACTAACACCAACACCAACACAACACCAACACTACACTAACCCAACACAACACTAACCCAACCCAACACTAACCCAACACCAACACTAACCCCAACACCAACACTAACCCTGACACTGACACTGACAGTATCTCGTGACTGTGTTGTTCAGGTTCTGTCTCGTCAGGGTTCAGTCGGTTTTATGCTCAGACTGAGTTCAAATCAAACTCTGATTAAAGTCTAGGACACAGGTGTCAAACATACGGCCCGGGGGCCAGATCCGGCCCTCCAAGACCTTTAATCTGGCCCTGGGCTGATTTTCTACTAAAATATTTGAATTCTATTTTCTATTAAAATCTTGTTAATTTTCTGTGGTGTTTATCACAGCAGCGTCTCCAGCGTCTCTGTACGTGGCCCCTCCCACCAGAGCAGCACAAATGAAGACTTGTCTCTTTCCAAACGTTCTTAAAGGACGATCGTTTTGACTGTTGACCGTGACACCCTCATCAGAAAAATGTCCAACATGAGAAAAGTGGAGCCGAGTGCAGGATTTTACAACAAAAATGGACTTATTCCTGTTTACAGACAAGTTCATGTTCAAACTTTGTGTTGAAATTGTGTTTTTCTTAAAGTTTCAGGTTGTTCATAATATTATAATATTTTGTAAAAGAAAGAGTTCATCAATTAAAAAAGATTTCTGTAATAGATTTGTGTTTCTCTGCACAAAAATTTAACTTATTGCTATTTTTGAGGTTTATATGACATGAGTTTTCTGATTCTGATGAGTTTGACACCCCTGGTCTAAAGTAACAAATCTTCAGACAGAGCAGTGCCTCGGTTAGCCCCCCCCCCCTTCCGGAGAATAACGATGACGTCGTCTGCTCACCATCAAAAACAGAATCAAACTTTCAGCTGCAGAAGAAAAAAAGAAAAGAAAAGACGACGAACAAGAACCAGGAGCAGCTCCGTTTATTCAAACAGAAATCAAACCATCAACCTGAAGATCTGCTCCAGGAGACGCCCCACAGGCCCGGTTCAGTTCTGGTTCAGTTCTGGTTTAGTTCTGGTTTAGTTCTGGTTTAGTCCTGGTTTAGTCCTGGTTCCGTCCTGGTTCCATCCTGGTTTAGTTCTGGTTTAGTCCTGGTTTAGTCCTGGTTTAGTCCTGGTTTAGTCCTGGTTTAGTCCTGGTTTAGTCCTGGTTCCCAGGAGCCTGAGGAGCAGTTGCAGTTTTGAGGCGGGAGGGCATCTGGGTTAGTTGTGAAACGACAGAAAAAACTCAAGATAAAAATATAATTTCATTTAAACGAAAAATTAAATAAATCTGAAAAACAAGAAACAAAAAGACAAAAAAAGAAAAATAAAATCAATTTGGCCTCGAAAATGAAAAAAACATTTGAGTCTTTGATCCAAACGGTCCACAGTTCATCCAGGTCTCAGGACTAGACCGGGTCCCGGGTCTAGACCGGGACTAGACCTGTGAGAGGTCGAGCTTGGCGACATATGGCGAGCGGAAGGAGCCGATGTAGAGGCTGCCGTCGTGCTCATGAGCCTCGCTCACGTACGCCGCCACCTCGCCGCCGGGGTCGTGGAAACTGCGCACGCACACGCCGCCATCTTGGATCTCTGCCACCAGACTGTACCGAGGAACGAGCTTCAACATCATCTCCTGAGACAAGACCTGAGGACAGACCGAGACCAGGAACAAGACCTGAGACAAGACCTGAGGACAGACCTGAGACCTGAGACAAGACCTGAGGACAGACCGAGACCAGGATCAAGACCTGAGACAAGACCTGAGGACAGACCGAGACCAGGATCAAGACCTGAGAGACAGACCGTGACCAGGATCAAGACCTGAGACAAGACCTGAGGACAGACCGAGACCAGGATCAAGACCTGAGACAAGACCTGAGACAAGACCTGAGACAAGACCTGAGACAGAGACCTGAGGACAGACCTGAGACCAGACGACCCGAGACAAGACCTGAGACAAGACCTGAGACAAGACCTGAGGACAGACCGAGACCAGGATCAAGACCTGAGACAAGACCTGAGACAAGACCTGAGACAAGACCTGAGACAAGACCTGAGACAAGACCTGAGACAAGACCTGAGGACAGACCGAGACCAGGATCAAGACCTGAGACAAGACCTGAGGACAGACCGAGACCAGGATCAGGGTCAGACTTTCTCTGTAGTAAATTGAGATGGAAACTTTGACACCAACAAAAACAAAAACCAACACAATGAAGAGCAACAACTGCTGTCACTGTGAAAGACCCTGAGACCTGGACCAGACCTGGACCAGACCTGGACCAGACCTGACCAGACCTGGACCAGACCTGGACCAGACCTGGACCAGAACCTGGACCAGAACCTGGACCAGACCAGGACTACAGCAGGACTACAGCAGGACTACAGCAGGACTACAAGCAGGACTACAGCAGGTCTTGGTCTGGTTTACCTTGAAGATGAGCTTCTTGATCCAGGGTCTTTGCGACAGAAAGTCCAACATGGAGAATCCAGGACTGGGTCTGACCGAGGACATCGCCACCCACAGGCCCCCGCTGGAACTACGCCGCACGTTATCAGGAAAACCCGGAAGGTTCTCCACAAACGTCTCCATCCCTCCTTTATTCAGACCGGCAACGTGGATCCTGAGACGAGAAGAGGACGAGGTCAGAGGTCCAAACCCGGTCTAGACCCGGTCTAGACCCGATCTAGACCCGGTCTAGACCCGATCTAGACCCGATCTAGACCCGGTGCAGACCCGGTGCAGACCTGGTGCAGACCCGGTGTTACCTGCGGATCCGGGCCATGGTGGTCTCAGACACCAGCACAGACTCTTCATCAGGAAGGAGCTGGAGTCCGTTTGGAAACCGGAGACGATCCATCAGAACTGAGACCTCCCCAGAGTCCACGTCCAACTCCAGGACCCTGAAGACCAGAAACCACAGACCAAAGACCGGATCAGGGACCAGTCCAGAGACCAGAGACCAGAGACCAGAGACCAAAGACCGGGTCAGGGTCTGGAGTTGTGTTTGTTACTTGTGTAAAGAAACATTTAAATATGAAGACTGTGACCCAAATCTCACCCTGGAGCAGCAGCAGCAGCGTTATATCATAGAAGAACACAGTAGTACAATAGTAGTAGTAGTAGTAGTAGTAGTAGTAGTAGTAGTAGTAGTAGTAGTAGTAGTACACAGTCGTACGTACCGTCCGTCGTCAGTGGCCTCCATGACCAGGTGCAGGAAGTTTCGGCGCTGCCACCTGGAGGAGCTGGAGGTGAAGTAAACGCGGCGTCCGTCTCGAGTCACGTCCAGGTCGTTTATAAAACCCAGGCTCCGCCCCCCGACCATCTGCCCGCCCACCACCAGACGCTCCGCCTCCCCTGAAACCACACACGACCATAAAAGGACTGAAGCCCCGCCTCCCCTGAAACCACACACGACCATATAAGGACTGTAGGGGGCAGTACCTGTGCTCAGGTGGACTCTGAAGATTCCTAAATAGGCGTCGGCCACAAACAGCGTCCCGTTTGGTCCCACACGAATCCCCAAAGGTCGTCCACAGGTCGGCTCATCCTCCGGAGACCCTGGACCAGACAGAGACCGGGTTTAGACCGGGTTTAGACCGGGTTTAGACCGGGTTTAGACCGGGTTTAGATGTGGACTTACCACAGGGCTGTTTGCCGAGTCGTGCCACTGTGTGGACTCGGCGTCCGACCATTTTCACAATTCTTCCATCGGCCGTTCCACTGAACAGGACATCTGTAACAGACCAGACCAGGGTCAGACCCAAGACCAGACCAGAGACCAGACCAGAGACCAGACCAGAGACCAGACCAGAGACCAGACCAGAGACCAGACCAGAGACCAGAAACCAAGTTACAGACACACAACTATTTGAACCATAGAGATAGTCTCTCTCAGCATCTGGGAGTATGACATCAGTGTGGTTTAGTCCTGGTTTAGTCCTGGTTTAGTCCTGGTTTAGTCCTGGTTTAGTCCTGGTTTAGTCCTGGTTTAGTCGTTTGTGAAATCCCTCAGTCGTCCAGGTTGGATCCACGCCAAAGGAGAAATTAAATTTTGTCACTGGACAAAGGGTTTTTGGTTGAATCCGTTTCGTCAGACTCTGGGGACACTTCCTCATCTCTGCCCGCAGGGGGCGCTGCACTCACACTCCTCTGACACACATATGTTTAGAGTTTGTGTTTGTAGCTCAGGTCTGTTGACCTGCACTGAGTGTGGACTGTGCCTGAGTCGGATCGTTCAGGCCCCTGATGAAGCTCACACTCGTCTGGACCTGACCTGGACCTCACTGTTGTTCTCTGTGTTTCAGGTTTAAGGATGAAGTTATAGATGTGTTTGTGTTTCTAAACTAACTTCTTTATCTCTCCTCTCAAACTGTTTTTTTCCCCTCTGGATCAGATCTGGACCTCACTGTCCTCAAAGGAGCGACCTGAGGCTTTTAGGTGGAGATGAACAGCAGACTGAGGTCCTGTGTTGTTCTCTCGTCTGTGTTAGTACATTCTCTTGTGAAGTGGCTGGTTTAGTCCTGGTTCAGTCCTGGTTCAGTCCTGGTTCAGTACCTCCGATGTTGGTGATGGACTCTGGACCCTGGACTTGGTTCTCGTAGAGTCTTTGAGCCGATCGGAGCTTCAGGTTTGGGGCCCAGCATCCCTCCAGCAGGGGGGGCTCTCTCAGACTGAAACACAAACACACGGTGAAGAAGAAGAAGAAGAAGAAGAAGAGTCCAGTCAGATGAAGCTCAACGAGGCCTGCGCTCACACGAGAGACAGGGGTTCTGGGTGGATTGTAACCGGTCTTGGGGGGGTCTTACCTGAAGGGTTCTGGGTGGATTGGAGATTCCAGGACCAGGACCAGGATCAGGATCGGGATGAGCAGGACTCCGCCCACAGACAGGAAGGTGACCTGGAAGACCCGCCCACTGTACGTCCTGAGACACACGATTGGCTCATTAGCATAATTACAGAACATTTGCATAAAACATGAATATTAATGAGCACATTATCAAAACCTCATTCACCCTGATGTAATACTCCCTACAACTGTACAACTCACCCTTATGTATCAGATAATACTCCCTACAACTTGAACTTATGATTCACATCAGCAATAATAAACTAAAAGAAAAAATGTAAATAGATCAAATTAATTTTAAGTAAATAAAGAACAAATGAGATGATCCTGTAAACGATAAAGAATCAGCAAAAACACAAAACTTCTGCTTTTTGTTAATATTTAATCAAACAGAAGAAGAAAAATGATCAGTGACAAAAATATCAGAAATTACAGAACTGAGTTTAAACTCAAACATGTTTGGGAAATTTTGTGCGACTGTTGAGACACAAAAGTTACACAACAGCTCAATGTGCACACATCCTGAACCAGGACTAAACCTGGACTAAACCAGGTCTAAACCAGGTCTAAACCAGGACTAAACCAGGACTAAACCAGGACTAAACCTGGTCTAAACCTGGTCTAAACCAGGACTGAACCAGGACTAAACCAGGACTAAACCAGGATTAAAACCAGGACTAAACCAGGTCTAAACCAGGACTGAACCAGGACTGAACCAGGACTGAACCTGGTCTAAACCAGGTCTAAACCAGGATTAAAACCAGGACTAAACCAGGTCTAAACCAGGACTGAACCAGGACTGAACCAGGACTAAACCAGGACTAAACCAGGACTAAACCAGGACTGAACCAGGTCTAAACCAGGACTAAATGAAGTGTCATCAGCACTGTTCCCTGGTCTTGCTGTCCCCGGCGCGTGTCTCACCTGTCTCCGTGTCTCACCTGTCCCGGGCGCGTGTCTCACCTGTCCCGGGCGCGTGTCTCACCTGTCCCGGGCGCGTGTCTCACCTGTCCCGGGCGCGTGTCTCACCTGTCTCCGTTGTGGAGTCTGTCCCGCGGTTCCTCGGTGATGACCCGCGGCTGTTGGCGGCGTAAGCGCAGCCCCTCGGCCTCCTTCATGTCCCCGTGTCCCTGTGTCTCTGTGTCTCTGTGTCCTCTGTCCCCGTGTCCCTCTGTCCCCGTGTCCCTCTGTCCCCGTGTGTCTCGGGTCAGTCCGGATCGTGCGGTGTCCCGTTTCTGTGTACAGTGTGCGGCAGTGACGTCACATCCGCCCGCCTTCACGATAAACTTAAATCTGTTGTTTTCTATTTTTATCTTTATTATTGTCTCTATTTTCTCTATTATCGCAATTTTTATCTCTATTACTATCTATATTTTTTCTGTAATTTATTTTTTAATATTTTTATTTCCGTTATTATATTTTATTTAATATTTTTAGTTATTTTATTATTTGTATTATTTATTTTCGCTATTATTTTTTTTCTCCCTATTACTTATTATTATTGTTGTTATATTTTTGTCAGTTTCTTCTTCTTTATTTATTTATTTATTCATTTAATTCATACTAGATTTGTGCAACAAACGCGCGTGTTCCGGAAGTGGGTCAGAGGTCAACAGGCGCCTCGTGTCACGGTGTTTATGTTCCTTTTTAAAATTTTATTTATATTTTAAATGTTCCTGAAACTCGAATATTTCACCGAGCATCACTTAATTTTTATTTTTATTTTATTTTATTATTATTCTTTTTTTTTTTTTTTTTTTTTTTTTTTTAATAAAGTAAATAAATATCTATATTGTGATACCACTTTCACCCAGAAGAGGGCAGCAAACACCAAACCACTCTGAACCAGGTCCTGGTTCAGAGTGGTTTGGTGTTCAGTGACCTGGTGACAGGTCCAGTCCTGGTCCAGTCCTGTCCCTCTGTCCCTCTGTCCTTCTGTCCCTGTCACTGTTCGGTCTAAACTCGTGTCCGTCTCACATTGACTCTGCGGTGATGTCACTCCGGGGGAGTTCTACATGCGTGTCTGTGGCAGAATGTTCAGCTGTTGCCGTGGAGACAAGATGCACACATCAACAAACACAACCTGAAAAACATACAGGGTTCTGTCTCTGTCGCGGGCCGGGTCTGGGTCTGGACCAGGTCTGAGCCGGGTCTAGAGAGGTTCTGGGGAAGTTCTGGGAGGTTCTGTGGAGGTTCTGGGAGGTTCTGCGGAGGTTCTGGGGAGGTTCTGGGAGGTTCTGTGGAGGTTCTGTGGAGGTTCTGGGAGTTTCTGGAGGTTCTGTGGAGGTTCTGGGGAGGTTCTGTGGAGGTTCTGGGAGGTTCTGTGGAGGTTCTGGGGAGGTTCTGGTCACAGAAGAGTCTGTGGTTGTGTCTCAGGTTCTTAGAAGTTCAGGGTCGTGTTTAATTTGGTTTAATTCCCAGAACCAGACTCAGACCCGGACTCAGACTTGGACCAGTGGATCTGGGTCAGGACTCAAGAGGGCGGAGCTTAATACAAGGAGTGTCTGTGCATGTGACGAAAACTGTAGTACTAATACTGTAGTACTGTAGTACTAATACTGTAGTACTGTAGTACTAATACTGTAGTACTGTAGTACTAATACTGTAGTACTGTAGTACTGTGGTTCTGTAGGACTTTTGTAGGAACGAGGATCTGGACTTTTCATTTGTCAGATTCAATTTTGTAAAAAAAAATCTGAAATAATCCAATAATATTTTAATCATCAGGACTAAACCAGAACTAAACCAGGACAAAACCAGGCCCAGGACTTGGTGTGTGTGTGTGTGTGTCTGTGTGTGAAAAAACGTTGTTAAATTTAAAAATACATTTATTCTTTTCTTATTTACAATTTTTTGCATAAAACTTTAAATTTAAACAAACAAGAAACACAAATAAACACAAACTCCACAAATATTTATAGAAATATATAAATCTAGAAATATAAAAGTACAGACGCAGACCAGACCCTGATCCAGGTCTGATCCGGGTCTGATCCGGGTCTGTATTGTGATTGTCATTGCGGGATAGGGCCTCTCTCCTCTGATTGGCCGAGCGGCGGCGTTCGGGCCTCTGATTGGCTGAACGTGGGCGTTCAGACGTCTGATTGGCCGAGCGTGGGGGTTCAGTCCTCTGATTGGCCGCCGGGGGGTTTGGAGGGGCGGGACAGGTCCATGGCTTCCTCTTCCTCTTCGTCTTCGTGCTCGTCTCGGGGCTCAGGTCGATCGTCTCGGGGGTCGGGGGTCACGCGGGGGTCGGGGCTGGTGCGGGGGTCGCTCAGGGTCAGAGGTCGCTCGGGGTCGCAGAAGGGGGCGGGGCTTGGGCACTTCTTGGTCATTTCCAGAGACTTTTTATGCATCCCTGAAAAAAAATATATAAATTTAATAAATTTATTCTGTTGATGATATTTATATAAAGAACAAAAAACACATGTGATTATACGACAGAAAATTATATCAGTTTAATAACGTTTATTATTATTTATGTAGAGATTTATTATACATCTCTGAAAACACACGACATGAATGTTTTATTATTATTATTATTATTATTATTATTATTACTGATGTTTCTCTGTGTGTTTAATTATTCATCATTTTATTATCATCACAAAACACACAACAACAACACACACACAAGTCTAACCAGGACTAGACCAGGACTAGACCAGGACTAGACCAGGACTAGACCAGGACTAGACCAGGCTGTGGGCCATTCCTATGGACTGTGTGTGTGTGTGTGTGTGTTGTTGAACAGTGTGTGTATACATGTGTGTGTGTACAGGTGTGTGTGTTTGTGTGTTTGTGTGTATGTACATGTGTGTGTACAGGTGTGTGTGTTTGTGTGTTTGTGTGTATGTACATGTGTGTGTACAGGTGTGTGTGTTTGTGTGTATGTACATGTGTGTGTATAGGTGTGTGTGTGTGTTTGTGCGTTTGTGTGTATGTACATGTGTGTGTATAGGTGTGTGTGTTTGTGTGTTTGTGTGTTTGTACATGTGTGTGTATAGGTGTGTGTGTTTGTGTGTATGTACATGTGTGTGTATAGCTGTGTGTGTGTGTTTGTGTGTATGTACATGTGTGTGTATAGGTGTGTGTGTTTGTGTGTTTGTGTGTATGTACATGTGTGTGTATAGGTGTGTGTGTTTGTGCATTTGTGTGTATGTACATGTGTGTGTATAGGTGTGTGTGTTTGTGTGTTTGTGTGTATGTACATGTGTGTGTATAGGTGTGTGTGTTTGTGTGTATGTACATGTGTGTGTATAGGTGTGTGTGTTTGTGTGTATGTACATGTGTGTGTATAGGTGTGTGTGTTTGTGTGTTTGTGTGTATGTACATGTGTGTGTATAGGTGTGTGTGTTTGTGTGTATGTACATGTGTGTGTATAGGTGTGTGTGTTTGTGTGATTGTGTGTATGTACATGTGTGTGTATAGGTGTGTGTGTTTGTGTGATTGTGTGTATGTACATGTGTGTGTATAGGTGTGTGTGTTTGTGTGTATGTACATGTGTGTGTATAGGTGTGTGTTTGTGTGTATGTACATGTGTGTGTATAGGTGTGTGTGATTGTGTGTATGTACGTGTGTGTATAGGTGTGTGTGTTTGTGTGTATGTACATGTGTGTGTATAGGTGTGTGTTTGTGTGTATGTACGTGTGTGTATAGGTGTGTGTGTTTGTGTGTATGTACATGTGTGTGTATAGGTGTGTGTGATTGTGTGTATGTACGTGTGTGTATAGGTGTGTGTGTTTGTGTGTATGTACATGTGTGTGTATAGGTGTGTGTTTGTGTGTATGTACATGTGTGTGTATAGGTGTGTGTGTTTGTGTGTATGTACATGTGTGTGTATAGGTGTGTGTGTTTGTGTGTGTACATGTGTGTGTGTGTGTGTGTGGTTGTATGTACATGTGTGTGTATAGGTGTGTGTGTTTGTGTGTATGTACATGTGTGTGTATAGGTGTGTGTGTTTGTGTGTATGTACGTGTGTGTATAGGTGTGTGTGTTTGTGTGTTTGTGTGTATGTACATGTGTGTGTATAGGTGTGTGTGTTTGTGTGTATGTACATGTGTGTGTATAGGTGTGTGTGTTTGTGTGTATGTACATGTGTGTGTATAGGTGTGTGTGTTTGTGTGTATGTACATGTGTGTGTATAGGTGTGTGTGTTTGTGTGTTTGTGTGTATGTACATGTGTGTGTATAGGTGTGTGTGTGTTTGTGTGTATGTACATGTGTGTGTATAGGTGTGTGTGTTTGTGCGTTTGTGTGTATGTACATGTGTGTGTATAGGTGTGTGTGTTTGTGTGTTTGTGTGTATGTACATGTGTGTGTATAGGTGTGTGTTTGTGTGTATGTACATGTGTGTGTATAGGTGTGTGTGTTTGTGTGTATGTACATGTGTGTGTATAGGTGTGTGTGTTTGTGTGTTTGTGTGTGTATGTACATGTGTGTGTATAGGTGTGTGTGTTTGTGTGTTTGTGTGTATGTATATGTGTGTGTATAGGTGTGTGTGTGTTGTGTGTTTGTGTGTATGTACATGTGTGTGTATAGTGTGTGTGTTTGTGTGTATGTACATGTGTGTGTATGGTTGTGTGTGTGTGGTTGTGTGTATGTACATGTGTGTGTATGGTTGTGTGTTGTGTGTTTGTGTGTATGTACATGTGTGTGTATAGGTGTGTGTGTTTGTGTGTTTGTGTGTATGTACATGTGTGTGTATAGGTGTGTGTGTTGTGTGTTTGTGTGTATGTACATGTGTGTGTATAGGGTGTGTGTGTTTTGTGTTTGTGTGTATGTACATGTGTGTGTATAGGTGTGTGTGTTGTGTGTGCATTTGTGTGTATGTACATGTGTGTGTATAGGTGTGTGTGTTTGTGTGTTTGTGTGTATGTACATGTGTGTGTATAGGTGTGTGTGTGTTGTGTGTAATGTACATGTGTGTGTGTGTGTGTGTTGTGTGTATGTACATGTGTGTGTATAGGTGTGTGTGTTTGTGTGTTATGTACATGTGTGTGTATAGTGTGTGTGTTTGTGTGTATGTGTACATGTGTGTGTTATGTGTGTGTGTGTTTGTGTGTATGTACATGTGTGTGTATAGTGTGTGTGTTTGTGTGTATGTACATGTGTGTGTATAGGTGTGTGTGTTGTGTGTGTTTGTGTGTATGTACATGTGTGTGTATAGGTGTGTGTGTTTGTGTGTTTGTGTGTATGTACATGTGTGTGTATAGGTGTGTGTGTGTTTGTGTGTGTATGTACATGTGTGTGTATGTGTGTGTGTGTGTTTGTGTGTATGTACATGTGTGTGTATAGGTGTGTGTGTTTGTGTGTTTGTGTGTATGTACATGTGTGTGTATAGGTGTGTGTGTTTGTGTGTATGTACATGTGTGTGTATAGGTGTGTGTGTTTGTGTGTTTGTGTGTATGTACATGTGTGTGTATAGGTGTGTGTGTTTGTGTGTTTGTGTGTATGTACATGTGTGTGTATAGGTGTGTGTGTTTGTGTGTTTGTGTGTATGTACATGTGTGTGTGTATAGGTGTGTGTGTTTGTGTGTATGTACATGTGTGTGTATAGTGTGTGTGTGTGTGTTTGTGTGTATGTACATGTGTGTGTATAGGTGTGTGTGTTTGTGTGATTGTGTGTATGTACATGTGTGTGTATAGGTGTGTGTGTTTGTGTGTTTGTGTGTATGTACATGTGTGTGTATAGGTGTGTGTGTTTGTGCATTTGTGTGTATGTACATGTGTGTGTATAGGTGTGTGTGTTTGTGTGTTTGTGTGTATGTACATGTGTGTGTATAGGTGTGTGTGTTTGTGTGTATGTACATGTGTGTGTATAGGTGTGTGTGTTTGTGTTTGTGTATGTACATGTGTGTATAGGTGTGTGTGTGTTTGTGCATGTGTGTGTATAGGTGTGTGTGTGTGTGTATGTACATGTGTATGTGTGTGTGTGTGTGTATGTACATGTGTGTGTATAGGTGTGTGTTTGTGTGTATGTGTACATGTGTGTGTATATGTGTGTGTGTATGTCATGTGTGTGTATAGTGTGTGTGTGTTTGTGTGTATGTACATGTGTGTGTATAGGTGTGTGTGTTTGTGTGTTTGTGTGTATGTACATGTGTGTGTATAGGTGTGTGTGTTATGTGTGTATGTACATGTGTGTGTATAGGTGTGTGTGTTTGTGTGTATGTACATGTGTGTGTATAGGTGTGTGTGTGTGTGTTTGTGTATGTACATGTGTGTGTACAGGTGTGTGTGTGTGTGTGTGTGTGTGTGTATGTGTGTATATATGTGTGTGTGGTACTGACGTTGCGAGGCCTCACCCAGCAGCCAGGGGGCGCTGCTGACCATGCCGTTCTTGGCGGAGTTGAGGATGGACTCGGGCAGAGGGATGGAGTGTCGCACCATGGCTCCGTACAGACCGTACTCCGCCATCACCGAGCTCCGCCCCCAACACTTCTCACGCTTACGCCACTTCGCCCGACGGTTCTGGAACCACACCTGAACCACACGGACCGGGTTTAGACATGGTCTGGTCCTGGTCTGGTCCTGGTCTTGGTCCTGGTCTGGTCCTGGTCTTGGTCTGGTCCTGAGTTTGGTCTGGTCTTAGTCTGGTCCTGGTCTGGTCTTGTTCTGGTCTGGTCTTGGTCTGGCCTGGTCCTGGCCTGGTCCTGGCCTGGTCCTGGCCTGGTCCTGGTCTTGGTGTGGTCCTGGTCTTGGTCTGGTCCTGGTCCTGGTCTGGTCTTGGTGTGGTCCTGGTTCTGGTCTGGTCTTGGTCTTGGTCTTAGGTCTTGGTCTGGTCCTGGTCTTGGTCATGGTCTGGTCCTGGTCATGGTCTGGTTCTAGTCTTGGTCTTGGTCTTGAAGTGGTCTCGGTCTGGTCTTAGTCTGGTCTGGTCCTGGTCTGGTCTTGGTCTGATCTTGGTCTGGTCTTGGTCTTTGTCTAGTCTCGGTCTGGTCTTGGTCTTGGTCTGGTCTTGGTTCAGACCTGGATCCGGTCTTCTGGGAGCTCGGTCTTCAGCGCGAGCATCTCTCGAGCGTAAACGTCGGGATAATGAGCCTCCTGAAAGGCCTTCTCCAACTCCTCCAGCTGCGACGACGTGAACACCGTCCTGAACACAAGAAGAAGAAGAAGATGAAGAAGACGTGAAGAAGAGGAGGAGGAGGTGAAGAGGAACGGTGGGGGGGGGTCTAAAGTATCGAATCCCAGCTCATCGATTCTAAATCTGGTATCGAAAGAATCAAAAACAAAACAAAGAGTTCAGTTGTTTTAGTGACACTGAGTCGGCTCCTCCGTGTTTTTAAAGCCTCAGAGTCTCAAACGCAGCTTCTGTTTCAGCCTCATTTACTCTGCCTCAGTTGACCTGCAGGGGGCGCCCACAGGAACAACTAGAACATTAACCGAAATAAAAAACATAACGTCTCATATTTGCATATTTCATTTGCAAACGATTTTTATTCAAACTGTTTTTTTTTTTTTATTTGTAAAATATCAGATTTTGAACCACGTCATTTACATGAAACTTTTCTCAAAAACACTTTTATAGAGAGAAATAATGATTTAATAATAATCATCATCTTTTTTACGTAAACGTGTTCATTGTTTCTTTTTTATTTTTGTGCGTTTGATCAGAGACGTCGTCTGTTTTTACGTCGTCACTTACGGTTTGTTTTATTTTTGTACATTTCTGTTTAAATCTGTTGTTTTTTCAGAGGGTCACAGGGTTTAGTTTGATTTGTTTCATGACACAGGAACAGGAAAAGGAAAAGGAACAGGAAGAGGAAGAGGATCAGGTGAGGTGTTTGTTCCAGCAGAGTTCAGGTTCACCTGTCGCTCTGGCAGGTTCACTGATTGATTATATTTTATTGATCTCAAATATTTGCTCTTCTTCTCCTGCAGCGGGTTTGGGTTTTGGGTTGTGGTTCGGTTCGGGGTGTGGTTGGGTTCGGTTCGGGGTGTGGTTCGGGGTTACGTGTAGATGACGTCAGATCGTTCAAACCTGTGACGTCGTTTCTTGCGCTTCTGGTTCCCGCCGCTGCAGCTCTTGTCCCGGTCCGACAGACACTCCTCATCTGAAACACGCCACACATGACGTCACAGTGTGCTACACATCCTTCACCACATTTATTTTCATTAGTCTGAGGCCCGTGCGCGAGGCCCGTTCACCCGGAGGCTCGCGCGCTCCAGACTCTCGGGGCTGGACGCGGTGTTTTGGTGAGGTTTTTTTTTTCAGGTTTTATTAAAATATTCAAATTATTTGTGACTCTTTCTGGGCCTCATTATTATTATTATTATTATTATTATTATTATTATTATTATTATGGTTACGTGGATTCAAACGCGACGTGACGCTGCGTAAAACCAAACCGGAGGCCGCGCGCGCGCCCCAGATTAAATAATAATAACAAAATAAAAAATATTTTTTGATAAATAATTTTTTTTAATAATAAATCATAAAATACTGATTATTTTGATAAATCCTTTGTTTCATTTAATGTTAATTTAATCATAAATCTGGAGCCGAGCCGTGCGTAATTACGCACCGCACTGCGGACTTGTGCGTAAAGGGCAATTTTACGCACAGTTTCCAAAGTCTGATTAAAGATCCAAATCCAGACACCGAGTCCAGACCGGACCGGGTTCTGAACCGGACTAACTCCAGGACTAACTCCAGGACTAGACCAGGACTAAACCAAGACTAAACCAAGGCTCTGACCCCAGCTCGGGGCCTGCTCCTGGTCCGGGCCTGGTCCTGGTTCGGGACTCACCTGAGAAAGCGGAGTCGCGCGTGCCCTCCAGGTTGTGAAGAAAGTGCGTGTCTGCGCGTGCTTGTAGCAGGGGCACGTGCCCTGGAAGGAAGCAGTGCGCGCCCCCGGGCTGTTGCGCCGCGAGGCTGCACAGGAACCCGAGACCCAGTGGGAGCGCGCCTCCGGGGAACGCGAACGCGCCGAGAGGGCCCTGCGCGTCCCCGCCTCCGGCTGTGGGCGCGGAGAGCCCGGGGCCGTGCCCGGGGCCCTGGCGCGCGTGCAGGTCTGTTTCCAGTCCGAGCAGGTCCGTGATGGCGAAACCTTTACGCAGCGCGGGCGGCAGCTTGACGCGCGGCGCCTCCGCGTCCGCGACCTCCGCGCTGCCGCTCATCTTCAGCGCCGCGTGTCCGTCAAACTCTGAAAGTGTCAAAGTGAAAGTGTGATCCTCGAGCCGTGCCGAGCCGCGCGGAGCCGTGCCGAGCCGAGCCGCGCGCAGTACAGGGCGCAGAGCCGTGCCTCCTCTCGGTGACAGTGTGCGCTCCTCCTCTTCACCTCCTCTTTCTCTTCTTCTTCTTCTTCTTCTTCTCTGACCTCCGCTGATGCTTTGATGCTTGTGGCTCGGGGCGCGTGCCGCTGCTTTTATCCCGCGCGGGGATGAGGCAGGAGCCAATCCCAGGCCCCACGCGCCACTGTCCTGCGGGATTAATAACCAATCAGAGCCCCCACGCGCCTCATCCCGCGGGATTAATAATTGCACCAATTTCCCTCCAAATCCGGATTTACGGCCCGCGGTTACTGCGCATGCGCCGCGAACAATCAGAGGAGCGCGAGGCCTCAGAGGCCCGCGCGCGCGCCGCTGATGAAATAATCTGATTTACATTTAATCTGAAATCTAATAACTACAGATTAATCATGTTTTATTATTATTATTATTATTATTATTATTATTATTATTATTATTATTATTATTATTAATGTTTTAATGTTATTAAAATTCTAATTAACCACAGGATTTCTTGTTTCATCAGAGACCAGAGACCAGACCAGCGACCAGAGACCAGACCAGAGACCAGACCAGAGAGACCAGAGACCAGAGACCAGACCAGACCAGAGACCAGAGACCAGACCAGAGACCAGACCAGAGAGCAGAGACCAGGGCAGTTCCAGGTCCTGGTTCTTTGTGAAGTTTAATGAGTCTGAAGTGAATGAGCCCAATCCTGGATTAGTGTCATTTGGCCCTAATTTCACTGACCCCCCCCCCCCCCCCCCTCCATCTCTCTCTCTCTCTCTTCGTCTTACACTTTCTCCCCTCGTCTCGTCTCGTCCTTGTTCATCAGTATTTGTAGCATTAGTTTAAATAATTATATAAATGATGTTGAGTGAATAAAATGAGTCGAGTTTCTGTTGTAAATATTTTATTTTGTTGCTTTAGTTTCATAAATGTTAAACCGTTTATTTTATGTTTGATTGGCTCAGGACTGTTCCTCTGTTCTTCTGTTCTTCTGTTCTTCTGTTCTTCTGTTCCTCTGTTCTTCTTTTCTTCTGTTCTTCATCTGACGCCGAGACTCTGACAGAAAAACAACCATCACCAAGAAAACTTTTATATTTATATTTTGTAAAACGAAAGAAAAAAGACCAGAGACTCCCCCAGGACCTACTGTATGTAACTACTACTACTACTACTACTACTACCACAGTACTACTACTACTACTACTACTACTACTACTACTTCTACTACTGTGTATCTGTAGTAGCAGTAGTAGTAGTACTGTAGTAGTAGTAGCAGTAGTAGTAGTAGTAGTACTGTGGTAGTAGTAGTAGTAGTAGTAGTAGTAGTAGTAGTAGTACTATAGTAGTACTCGTCTGTCGTCATGGAGACGTCAGTTGAAGTTCCATCTGGAGCAGAGTGATTGACAGCTGCTTCTGGCCTCTGATTGGCTGAGTGAGTGTCAGAGTGAGTGGGGGGGCGGGGCTCCCGGGGGACAGGTTTGGGACAAAGAGACACTAAAGAGACACTAAAGACAAAAGACCCTGTGTGGACCGGGTTTAGTCCAGGTTTAGTCCAGGTTTAGTCCAACAAAGACAAATACAAACAAATCTGAACGACGGATAACGGACACCGAGCTCACACCAGCCACCATCCTCCTCCTCCTCCTCCTCCTCCTCCTCCTCCTCTCTCCTCCTCCTCCTCCTCCTCCTCCTCCTCTCTCCTCTCCTCCTCTCCTCCTCCTCCTCCTCCTCCTCCTCCTCCTCCTCCTCCTCCTCTCTCCTCTCCTCCTCCTCCTCCTCCTCCTCTCCTCCTCTCCTCCTCCTCCTCTCCTCTCCTCCTCTCCTCCTCCTCCTCCTCCTCCTCCTCCTCCTCCTCCTCCTCCTCCTCTCCTCCTCCTCCTCCTCCTCTCCTCTCTCCTCCTCCTCCTCCTCTCTCCTCCCTCCTCCTCCTCCTCTCCTCCTCTCCTCTCCTCCTCTCCTCCTCTCCTCCTCCTCTCCTCCTCCTCCTCTCCTCCTCTCCTCCTCCTCCTCCTCCTCCTCCTCCTCTCCTCCTCTCCTCTCCTCCTGCTCTTCCTCTCCTCCTCTCCTCCTCCTCCTCCTCTCCTCCTCTCCTCCTCTCCTCCTCCTCTCCTCCTCCTCCTCCTCTCCTCCTCCTCCTCCGCTCCTTCTCCTCCTGCTCTTCCTCTCCTCCTCTCCTCCGCTCCTTCTCCTCCTCCTCTCCTCCTCTCCTCCTCCTCCTCCTCTCCTCCTCTTCCTCCTCCTCTTCCTCTCCTCCTCCTCCTCCGCTCCTTCTCCTCCTCCTCTTCCTCTCCTCCTCCTCCTCCTCCTCTTCATCTCTTCTCTCTGTGGAGGTGGATCTTGTGGCCACAGCTGCCCCCGGGACAGACTGACAGCTCTGTCCCTCACACACACCTTCACACTGGGAGCAGGGGTGAAAGTGTCTTGCCAAAGGACACAATGGCCAGTGGCCCCCGTGGCCCCCGTGGCCCCTGGTGTCAGTCGTGTCCAGGTCGTGTCCCCCGCGGCCCCTGGTGTCAGTCGTGTCCAGGTCGTGGCCCCCGCGGCCCCTGGTGTCAGTCGTGTCCAGGTCGTGTCCCCCGCGGTCCCTGGTGTCAGTCGTGTCCAGGTCGTGTCCCCCGCGGCCCCTGGTGTCAGTCGTGTCCAGGTCGTGTCCCCGTGGCTCCTGGTGTCAGTCGTGTCCAGGTCGTGGCTCCTGGTGTCAGTCGTGTCCAGGTCGTGGCTCCTGGTGTCAGTCGTGTCCAGGTCGTGTCCCGGGCCGAGCAGAGGAGCAGGTGAAACTGTTCCACCTCAGTCTGGTGTCAGTGATACTCGTAATTGTTTGTCCCTGTGGAGCTGTTAGTGCCTCAGGGGGCGGGGCGGGGGGCAGGAGGGCGGGCGGGGGCCAGGGGGCGGGGCAGGTGGCAGGGGGAGGGGCTGGGTGGTGGCAGTGTCCCACTAATTATTCATAAATGCTGCGTTTATGCAGATTAAAAGAAGATTAGTGGAGCAGCTCTAATTGAATCTTCAACAGTCAAAACAAAAAGTGTCTCAACCAGAGAGTGTGTGTGTGTGTGTGTGTGTGTGTGTGTGTGTGTGTGTGTGTGTGTGTGTGTGTGTGTGTGTGAGGGGGTCCTGGATTAGCCTAATTTAATCCTCCTCTCCTCACTCTCTCTCTGTCACACTCTCTCTGACTCCTCGGTGAAGGTGGTGGGGGGGCAGTGTGTGTGTGTGTGTGTGTGTGTGTGTGTGTGTGTTGTGTGTGTTGTGTGTGTGAGGGGGTTCTTTACAGAATAAGACGCCAGACTCAGACGGGCTAATGCCGCGTGGAGACAGCGCGTGCCGCCGTTAGCG